TATATATATATATATATATATATATATATATATATATATATATATATATATATATATATATATATATATATATACAATAATTTTATAGTTGTGTTAGTTTTATGTTAGATACTGTCCACATTAACATAACAAACTTGGGCTGACAATTAATAGACTAAGTGAAATACTTTGTAATCATGTTAAGCGCACTAGTCTTTTGTTGATAAACTGAAGTTAATTTTCTGTCTTGCTTATTTCTGATGTGATACTATGTAATTATGATAATTAGAATATCAGGTAATATATAATATTGGGGCAGGTGATGATGCTCAGTGTACCTGTTGATACCAGTTCTTCAGGAGTTTCAGGCCTAAAAATACTTACCAACTTAAAGTGTTAATTTTTGGTGATTTTTTTTTTACAGTTTTATGATATTCACTTGTAGTAATTACAATATATTTTAGTTAATTATAAGTGCAAGTATGCTGCATGTATATACACTTCCAGTTTTAATAAAAGTTTATTTTCCATCTTAACTATAGTTCTGATGTGATGTCATATAAATATTATAATAAAAATTTCAGCTAGTGATGATATTGGAGCTGGTGATGATCGATGTTGATTGTCTTATCAAGATTGTTTTTGAAATAAGATATATATTACTTCTGATGTCTAATGTCTTTTAAGAAGTAATGGAAGGAAAACATTTGTATGTGATTTTCATTTTTTGCACAAATTCTATAATTTCATAAAGATTCAATTTAAGCACAGTAATATATGTATATAATTTGACTGTGAATCAATTATTCTTGCATGCTGAAAGAGCCAATAATAATATATTATATCTTTAGTTAACATTATTTGACAGTTTTGTGATATTCTTGACCATTCTTATACTTATATCTCATTTAAAAAAATCAAACTTCATGTTGCACTCTTTTTAATTGGAACATGTACCAGTTGCTGTATATTTGAGTTAACTAGCATATACTGGGTAAAGATATGGTATCAAGAATGTATTACAATAACAAAGGTAATATTATTCTTGATGGTATACTTGCACAAGTACTTGTGTTGGAATACAGTGGGTATACTTCAGTTTTGAATCAATACTAAACTTTAAAATAAACAAGGCAGCAAAGCTGCCAAATGTACAGACAAAAAGCAGGAAATAACTATGCACAAAATAAGCTACTGTCAATTCTGATGCAAAAGTACACTATGTTAAACTGCAAATTCAACATCAAATTTTAATTATGCTCAACAGGTAATACCAATGTAAGTAAAATGTGTAACAAGCATAAGGCTTCAGGCCCATGGGAGTTCAAGTTCACTCTTTGAAAATGTATAACTTCCAGAAAAAGAAGCCAATTAGACTGCTTTTCCAACTCGGGCTACATGCCGATTTTCGAACTTGACTTGCATTTTAGTAAGATCAATTACTCCTGTGAGTTTCATGACAACAGGCCTATCGGTTTTCCTTGAAATGTGTTTACAGTGTTGCATATATGCTGAAAAGTGAAAAAAAAAAGCATAACTTCTACAATAATGGCCCGATCATGCTGATTTTCGAACTTGACCTGCATTTTATGAATATTCATCAGCTCTGTAAATATAAAGCCAAAAAGTAAAACTGCCTTCCACTTATCGTGTTTACAAGGAAAGTGCATGGTGCTAGCGCCGGCGATGACGGCGACGACAGACGCAGGTGATGGCAATATGTACAGACACATCTATATATATTTACTGTACTGTTTGAGAACAGTAATTGACATGGCTTTTCTTAAATGGTCATCATGGGAGCAGTGCCCAAAATAGGTTTTTTTCAAATTTTGATGCAATATTACATAATGTTTAACAGCATGATGAACATCAATTTTTAATAATAAAATATTAGTATCATAGATATTTAGAAAATGTGACTAGCAAAGGTCTTCAGGCCCATGGAATTTAAAAGTCACAACTTGAAAATGCCAAAATGTAAACAAGACAGCACTGTTCTGAAATGTTTTTTCCCCATTTTTAACAATTTTTAACATAAAACAAAATTAACAGTTTACTGCCATTTTTATATGATCAACTAAGAAAATTGATGAGATGGGGAAAACATCAATAAAACAGTGTTAAATGTCCAATTTCTTCCATTCTTCCATTCTGAGATTCTGAAGTGACCTGGTTTTTATTCTTAAATGGTCATCATGGGAGCAGTGCCCAAAATAGGTTTTTTTCAAATTTTGATGCAATATTACATAATGGTTAACAGCGTAATGACCATCAATTTTAATAATAAAATATTAGTATCATGGATATTCAGAAAATGTGACTAGCAAAGGTCTTCAGGCCCATGGAACTTCAAAGTCACAACTTGAAAATGCCAAAATGTAAACAAGACAGCACTGTTCTGAAATGTTTTTTTTTTTTTTTTTTTTTTCTATTTTTAACAAATTTTTTAACATAAAACAAAATTAACAGGTTACTGCCATTTTCNGTCAAACAAACACTTTTACGCATCTTATTAGTTCAATAATGAGACTGTTAACATGCCTAAGAATTGAATCTCAGGAAATGTGAAAAAAACAGCATAACTTCTAAAATAATGGCCCGATTATGCTGATTTTCGAACTCAACCTGCGTTTTAGTAAGATTGACCACTTTTGTGAGTTTAATGACAATTGGCCTATCTGTTTTTCTTATATTGTGTTTACAGTGTTGCATATATGCTGAAAAATGAAAAAATCAGCATAACTACTAAAATAGTGGCCCGATCATGCCGATTTTCGAACTTGTCCTGCGTTTTAGTAAGATTGATTACTCCTGTGAGTTTCATGACAACAGGCTTAATGGTTTTCCTTTAAATGTGTTTACAGGGTTGTATATATGCTGAAAAGTGAAAAAACAGCATAACTTCTACTATAATGGCCCGATCATGCTGATTTTCGAACTTGACCTGCGTTTTATGAATATTCATCAGTTCTGTAAATATAAAAGCAAAAAATAAAACTGTGTTCCACTTATTGTGTTTACAAGGAAAGTGCACGGCATCGGCATCGGCATCGGCATCGGCGACGACGGCGACGACAGACGCAGGTGATGGCAATATGTACAGACACATCTGTGTCTGTACATAAAAATGTTTCACTTGTCACATTGAAATATAAGGTTGGATAAAATTTCTGTTTTGAAATATTCTCATTATTGGAAATGCAAAATAATCCCATCTTAAAACTGGACATTGCATTTATTATCTCGAGTCCATTTACAGAATAAAATATTCACAATGGTTCAGATATTGATCCCATATAAATCACTAAAGAGAATTTAACAAACAGATTTTCTCTTAAATGGTTTTGTGGAAGGAATTTGCAAATTTTACCACCATGAACATGTTTTACTTTTTCAAAAATGTAAACTTACCAATCAAAATCTTGCTTTCTAAAAACTTTAGAGAATAACCTTTTTAATACCAAATTATTCAAAGATGCATACCAGCCTCTACAAATACAGTAATATTGCTGCTGTATGAATTACAATCATTAGTGGGAGTATAACTCCTGCAGCCAATCCTATGTCTATATTTACAATCTGATAGTGCTTCCACCAAACAATCACTACAGTATTATAATCTTGCAATGAATTTCCAGCACAACATTGCCGAAGGGGAATTGATTTTTTTCCTTCACAACTTTGCACTGGTAGTGGCTATTATTAAATTTTCATATCAGTATTTATTTTTGTGGTCAGGCTGTCTGCCACTTGAATAATTGAGACTTCATATTCATTGAATAAGTCTGTCTCACTGGAAGCTTTGATAGAATCTTCCATGAACAAAAACTATCAATACCAAAGGAAGTAGTAACAATTCCATTGCATATTCACAGAATCTTGGTCACTGTCAGTTTCTTATTGCCAAAATGTGTATTGTTTCCTTCAAATTTGTAATTTCAAAGCTCCTGCCACAAAAAGTCTTTACTTCCTCTTAATGTCTTTAATTTTGAGCAAAATTATTCTAAAATTCATAATCAGAAACATGACTTCTCTGTTTAGCTTCCCTACATTACAGTTGTCACTTCTGCCACAAATAAATAGGTAACAGTTGCTCTTTAAAATAAATCCAGTCGTTTTTCCAGCTCCTGCAGGTGCTTTAATTCCTGCACTAGTCAGGAGGGCACAGAAGGCATTAAGGCATCTGCTCCAAAAAGTCCTTCAAAATATTTGACATAGGGCTCACAGTGCTCACCTGGAGTTGGAAAATGTGAGGGAACTGTTATAATTCTGTTCAGTAAAATGGCTTTACATACTTAAATGTATGCATGTAATATTGGTAATGTAGAAGATTTGATGAATTTATATTGAGAGGCAATGCTAATGATGATTTGTTTACCTGGTATAAAGGGCAACTGGACACATTTCAACATTTTTGAGTCTATACTATTTAATTCCGGGGAAGATGGTGGTGTTAGTGTGGTTGGATTGAGGAAAGGGTGACTGTGGAAAGAAAACTGACCTGGAGCAAACTTGGAGACCTGTCTCATTCTGATGTTCCTCTGTTCAAAGAACTTGTATACTGTGTAGAACAGCATGCTGTCCCCTGTTTGCTTGGCTGCCTCTAGGAACTTCCTTGCTGACACTGTGTCCACCACACCCACACTGCGGATAAACCTGGAGGCAAGATGTTGGTTGTGCATGGCAGTTTTCACTTGATTTCCTATGTCACATTTACTTAGCTTTCAGCTAAAACAATTCTAATACAGACCAGTATTATGTTTGTCCACGTTTTAAAATCATATAGCGATTTAACGACGATTGTTTACTATCCAATCAAAGTGACAGCCGAGCACGTGTTTGTCCATAAATAAGAACAAGGAAATGTAAAATGCAGAGACAGAAATATGTTGAATATACATTTCTCAGCATTATAACTATTTATATTTTACTGTAACCAGTAAGAACTTTATTTTTCAATCTCAGCTACTTTTCATTATGTTAACTTAGACAAGGCAAAATGTATATTTTGCAATAAACAGCAATCAAACAATAATAATAACAATAATAATAATAATGCCCTACCTTAAGGCAGACAACAACTGGTGTTTTGACAGCAATACTTCAATGATCTCTTCATTGGCTGTGTTTAATCTCTTTTTAAAAAAGTGAAAGACATTTATTCAAAATTTTAAATGCCCTGTCTTACTGCTTTTTCAATTTAGCATAGTTAAAATTTGATATGAAATGTTTATCATGTTTGACTGGACTACAATCATCTATGAAAAAATCTAAAAGTCAATAAACACAGCTTTTTTCTGGTAATGTATTTGGTGGAACTATAGCAGTAAAAATAAAATAAAAAATCACTGAGGTTAAATCAAAGCATCTGGACCTCTAAACATAGTGGCCTTACCTTGAGCATATCCAGAGCCAGCTGGTGTGCAGGAGCATACACACTTTCCAATGACAACAACAGGCAAGCCTGCAACAAATGGCAGTAAAAAAATGATAAATGTTTCTATGGCTTTTTTCAATGTTATTGCTTAAGCAATTGGAATTATATTAAAAAAAAATCAAAAGATGAATCATAAAACATCTCAATTGCTATTCAAGCATTTCTGATAATATGTTTGACTTAATTTTCAAGTAAAAACTTGTTTATGTTTCTATACTTTTGTTGTATTATTTGCCCATAGCTTGGTGTGGCATGTCTTGGTCACGTGGGTTTGAAGAGCGCGAAGTTTCAGGGTGATGCGCCACGTCAGGTGGAAGATAAGGTGCAATGATTCTACCACAATATTCTCACATGAAGCTGTTGGTTTTATTCATGGGTTTATCATATTAAACTGTATAACAACACTTAAAACATGTTTCTATTTTTTAATCTTAAGAACACAAGAATAAATCAGTTGAAGTCCACTGTAAGAAAAATAAACAACCTATCACAAGAAAAGTAAGAAATGATCAGCATTTTACACCAACAGTCACCATTTTCTATTGAGTTACAATCAATTAAAGATTTATTTTGTGGGATAGGGCCCAGGCTCTGACAGTTATTTCTTACCAGAGGCTTAGAGTCACTGAGCACATGGTACTGCAGGAACTGGTGCAGTTGATAAAAGCAGTGGTGATGTACCAGTGTGTTGATCACCAGTTCATACAGGTAATGCTGGACTGGGATAAACACTTGGTTGAGGGAGCGGATGTATTCGACCAGGGTTGCCACTATGAATTTGAAGTGAATGTTCTGAAACAGGACAATGTAAATAATGTAAATAAATAATAAAAAAACAAACTTCTCTGTTTAACACTGTGTGCATTGGTGTGAAAACATTATGACTGCATGTTACTATATACCTCAGTGTTTTCTTTAGTGAAGTAACGAGGTTATTTTAAGATAGCAGCCTTAAAAGTAAATCATTTTTTTCTAATTAAAAATATCAATTTAAGTCAAACAAGAAAGATATATGAAACCTGTGGTATTACACATAAGATGTCAAGATGTCAGCTGAGACTGGACTGTTTTAAAAGGAGTCATACCTTGCTATCTCCAAACACAGACAAAACGTGTGTATACATATCAGACTGGTCTATAATTGCCTTCCTGCCTCGTAGATTGTCCATGGCTTGTGTGCTCTCTGATGCCTGAAATATATAATAATCTCACAACATAAAATGCGCCTGCAGATTACAACCTCCAAACAAATACAGTTTACATAATTGAAATACAACAATTTTGTTTGCTTTCTTAATTTTACAATTACGATAAGAACAGTGTTTACCTTTAACGTAAAATGCAGTGACGTAATTTATTTGAACATCGCTGTCTACAACTTTATGTGCACTATGTACAAATTGATCTTTTTCAAATATTTGAGGTTCATAAAATGCATTTAAAAACAGGAGAAAGGCATATATGCATGCATACCTAGGCAGTTTATATGGTTAGACTGTAAAAAAGGGTAAGTAAAGGGATTGGACTGCTGGGCAATCAATTTCAATTTTAAGACTGAGTATAGGAATAAGGACTGGAGAGATGTCTTATCAATTATATCAGTAATCAAATGGCATTGTCGCTGAAATAAATATGTAGTTCTTTTATAAAAAACTCTTCAAATAAAATGAAATATATATTGTTCAGAAAAAAAAGCAAGTATCTGGGTATTGGAAGATATTGAGGAGAATCAAATTCAAAAGCACTACCCCAGTATAAGGTACAAGGTGATCAAGTATTGATCCTAGGGATGGTACTACCACCTGAAAACATGAAAACAAAAGTGTTACAAGAAAATAAGCCACACTGATAAAACAACATTCATTCAAAGATTCAGAATGGGATACAAAGTTCCCAATCAGGAATTGGTCAGAAATGTCACTTACATGTTATGAGTAGGCTGCTCATAAAATAAAAAATAAACTTAAAAAATAACAGAAGAACATAGCATTGAAACTTCTTCAAAATTGAAATAAAAATAAACTGCACACCTGAGCCTGGATCTCTTTATCCAGATATTCTCTGTACCCTGCATTGAGGAGGTCAAAGACCTGAGCTATAACAGGTAAGGAGGCCTGGGAGTCTGGTAACATCATCTGTTTACACACTTTCAGTATCACCATCTTACTGTCCTTCCTTCTGAGCAGGAAGTCGATCAGCTTCACCTAAAATAAGAATCGTGACAATCAATTTTAAATTTAAACAATTTTGAACACAATAGGTCAAACAATGTGTCTGAACGAAAAAAAATAATAAATAAATAAAAATTTAAACTCATTCCAGAATTCCATTTTTCTTAAATATTTTGGTAAATTGCAAAAACTTGCCTTCTGTCACAAAACTAATTTTATTTTGAGTTTTCAAATCAGTATTTTCTAGCATTATTGACAAATCAATGTCTTGGGGAGATACCAATATTCAGTTAGGCAATTCACTATCAGAACTATGAAAAAAGTCACCATCAGTGTTACAAGATCCATGGTGACATTACCTTATCATCAATCAAACTGACAATGGGTTCTAGAGACAGCTTCAGGTACCACATGTATCCAAGCTTGGCATCAATTAGTATATTGGGCTGGAATACTATCCAATTTGGAGAATCTGCCATGGTGGTTAAGAAGGGTTTTAAAAACCAACATTTGGTTAAAAATCACACACACAAAGTGAAAACATAATATCAATCTTCCATGTATTCATCATGAAAGAATTTGATCACAAGACCTATCGACAAAGAATTTAGTTTGCATGCAACTTTTAATGTTTTGTGGAAAGGATACAAAGTTCCAGCTCATGTTTCTGTCCATCTGCTCCAGGTTGACCTGGTATGGCTGAGGATGAGAAAGTTCCAATGAACAACAATATTTCCAAAAGACACAATAAAAAGTATAAGTATTCATAAACTAACATCAACCTTTCTTTAAGTTGTGTTAATACAGTGCTTATTCAAAAACATCTTTTGATATGTGAAAGACATATCTTTTGGTACAAAAATATCAACTTATTCTCACGTTATCACTGAAATGGAGCACAAATACATTCATACCCTTACAAAAAATTACATTCCATATTTCCATATTATCATAAACTCAATAACAATTGATAATACTGCTAAGTTAGGGCCAAATGTTTGACTATTATATCTTTATTTGTCCTTAGTGTGAAGAATCAACCCAGAACCAATGTACTTACATGGAGCTCTGATCATAAATGGTCTAATAGGACTAGCTGGGACCAGTGGATCATAAAATGTAACATAACCATCTGATTCCCCTCCTGACTTTATGTCAAACAACATGGATGTCTGCAATCACAGGATTCAGAGAGTGAAATTTTGACCCTGTTCAATTCTGTTCTTATTCATTATTGTTTGATTTTCAAAATTTGATGCTCCAGCAAAAGTTTTTTAAGGGTAGGAAGTCAACTTTTTGGAGCATGAAAAAAATCATGATTTACTTTCATCAATTTATTACTGAACAGATTTAAATAATAATATCCAAATCTATGTTTTAAAAAATCCTGTTAAATACTAACACTATTTGACTATTGACAAAAATCAAATAAGAGAACAAAGACTCTTGCCTACTTTACCTTAGATGCTTGATGATGCACAATGATGATATTGTCCACAAGGTTGACAGCAAACCTCCCACTCATGTTAAGCCTAAGCACACAGGACCTCCTTGCTGGATTCTCCCTAAAATAATAAATCTTGAGTTTAAACCTGCATATCATAAACAATTAAAAATATCAAACAATAACAGTAAGATATCAATACCATCCTTTTATCAGTTTTCTTCATTATCTCAAATTACAATTTAAACTTCTAAAAAGCACCTAACTATGGTAATGGCTGGTCCAGTTTTTATACTAACATGTTCAATTGACTGCTGCGCTTAATGCAGGTAGCACTTACCTTTGAAGGTGATACAACACTATTTCTGCAGTCAGTTTACCAGCTACTGTGTGATGTCTTAGGACACATATGTACAGTACACCATAGCTGCCACAAAGAAAACATAAAAGAACTTACATTTTCACTAGTATATAATATGCGAAATGGATCATAAATTGCCATAAGTCTAAATTTGAAAAAGCTGCTCACCACATGGTATCTATAATGATTTTGCTGATGTGAACTCAAATGAAACTCTTTCCATCCTCAGAATCAAAAATGTCTGAATCATGTTATCAGACTGATTTTACAATGCCTAGCAAACAATATACAACATGCTCAATGTGATTATTAGAAACCTGCAATATAACATGCTCGAACTAAATGTCAGTGACCATGTGCCCCAACTGTATGTACCATTAGTCCTGTTCTCTTCAAAAGTTTCGCATAAAAATTATCAGTCTTAAGAGACACAGATTTGTGTAGAACCATTTCCAACTTGAGTGAAAAAAAATCTAAGGCCACATTTACAACACAGTTGATCTGCAGACTAACAGAAAGCTTGAAAGCTTGCTGCATAATCCCCATGGGGAATCTATTCAGTGTCTATCAGGGGATTATGCCACATGCTTTGAAGTGGGTGTGTCATAACATTTGATCCACAGATTTGTTAGTCTGCAGATCAACTTTTTTGTGAATTCTGCAGATAAAGTAAATGATTTGAAGCTTACATCTGTGCCATTGTGACATCTCTCTCGTGTAGCACTAACTTTGGAGGCTTGGGGATCACAGGCAGGTCCACTTCAAACTTAGGAAGTTTGTACAGTTGACCAGACTAAAACAATTGAATACGAATTTAATCACTACTAACAGTGTGCTTGTGCTATGGTAACTAGGTATCTTGAAGAAATGTGAATATTAAAGAACATATAATGGGTCATTTAAGGGTCACTTCCCTTGGAGTTGGATACTGAACAAGTTTATACCTGTAATTTCTGATTATCAAATTGTAGTGTTTGTCTTCAATAGGCAAAGGAATTAATTTTGATATTAAAATATGATAAATGAGATCTAGATACTTAAAGAAAAAAATTTCCATTCTTTTACCACTATAACAAAGTGAAGTCTTTACTTAATTTTTCTTAACTCAGTTGTTTTGTGAATTTGGAGATTTTCAAAACACAAAACATGTATAATCTATTCTCAAAACAACTAATACTCTTTTACCTTGAAGTGGAAAGGATTGATGATATTTCCAAGAGGCCCTGATGAAAGTAGCATCACAGCAGATTCAGGCTAAAACATAAATAAAAATACAGAATTAAGAACCTTAATGGTTGAAGATATGCACCAAATGATAACACTAAATTTGTTCTTAGTTTATCTCTCTTGGAATACTTATGTTTTATCAGTTCCAAAATTCATCTAGTCTCTTCCAACATACAAAATTGGAAATTCCTAGTGTATATAAATATGAAGGCATAAATTATTTAAAAAATTCTGCACTAAAGGAAGCACTTAATATATAAAACTTACTGATATGAAATAAAGGAAAAATTTGTCTTACCGACCAAACAAACCAATTCACTTGACCGCTTTGATTCTTAAGGCACTTCAGTGTTTTCTTCTCTGGAATCACCTATTTTAATGAAAGGAAATATATTGTGAAATTAAAAAAAAACTTAATAAATGCTTTGCTTAAAATAAACAACAGAATACAATTAATATTCACATATCATTAAACCAAAGAGAATGGATTATACAGGCATTTCGAAGTGAATGTATCCACTACCATTATAATCAATAAATTCCTTTTGTCTGTAATTTTCATTTAGGAGTATTCCAAAAATATTCAAATATCTTGGCTGCAATTTTCACTCACCTGATAATACTCAATACCATGGTCAGTGACAAATACAATCTCATTTAGAGCTGTCCAATGGAAACCTATTATATTGGTTGTTTTGCCGCGACATGATTGTGAGTATTCTACTCTATCCGAGTGCTCTGTAAAGTTCATGAATTCCTGAAAATAGAAAGTTTGAAAGTCCTGTCAAGGCCATTCTAGCAAATGAAATTTTGTCAGATCCCACAGTAAATGAATGAAGAAATACAGCTTAAAAACACATAAGTTCAATATGAAAGAAAATCTATCATCTTTATTCACTTTCTTCATTTTTTTAATTTTTTGTCAAGGTGACCATTACAGAAACTTCTAAAACTCACCACTGACTTCTGCGACCTTTGTATTGCCAAAACTGACATGTCATAAGAAAATTTGATAGATATCACTTCTCCCCTGTCTTCCATTCTGAAAATAATAATGGCCATATTTATCATGGTAATACTTCAGACTGACCCTAAACATTTGGTTGCTTGAAAATGATGTAAAAAATATATAATTTTTAATCTAATTAAAAATATAAATAGTCTGCAAATAAGTAGGAAATTTAAAATATTATGTTTCGTTTATTAAAAAATATCTTCATGGTACAACAGAGGTGCTATTATTTTTCAATCAAACAAAGGAGTGAAGACTAAGGCAGTTACCTTCACAATTTACATACTAGTATATAACTATGATAATATCAGTTATCAAACAGATTTCATGGATCAGTTAGTAAGCCAACTGATAACAGTTGATAATAAATCAGATAAAAATTGGGGAGAGGGTAATTATTATTACTAATGTCTTAACTGCTTAAGAAAGGAAAGGTCTGAATGATGTACTGGCATATCCATATCATGACAACTGGCACATAAGCCTCAGTTACTAGTTTACAGTTATTTTTTCTTTAATAATCTTTTACATTTTTCAAATACTGGATGCTTTGGTGTTTTAAATTGTATTTATAGGTGTAATGGTTGGTTAGAAGATTTCCATTTGGAAAATGGATTGAGGTATTTTCATGAAAAAAGGTCCTATTATCTTAGAACAAAGTGGCTTAGCCCATATCTTTTTACTAGTCCCAAATCTAGAAAAAAAAACCTTGGGGTACATGATGTGCCAGATCCTGATTAAATCCATGTGATGGCAAAACAGTACTGCAGTTAGGAATAACAGCAATTTTGATTCAATATAGAGTTGGTAAAAGAAGCAATCAGACAAAAATTATCAGCATTATAGGAAAGCAGGAAAGGACACAGATTTCTTATTTATATTTATGGGACAGGGTTACAAAGTAAATGCACATGATAATATCATGCTCACCTACGGCTTTTAGTTTTTGAAAACCTGTGGTTATAAATTGAACTGCTTTGACAAAACAATATGAAGATTAAACTGTAAGTACTATGAATATTCGGAATAAAACACAAACTGCAGTAGCCCAAAACGTCACGTAAAAGATGGCTACAGTCAGCAATTCTCTACTCAATGACATTGAAATGTCAAGGTGTAGTGAAATCTTAGTGCTCTTTTTAATTGTTATTTCAATCAAGTATGTGTAACAGCAACATAACATTATTCAATAAACAATGTAATACTATAGTATATACAGTATATACTCACCTAAAATTTATATTTGTCTTATCATCTGGACCTTTCACCACAACCCCCATAGCACCTTGTGACTGCACTGCAAAAACCTGATATGGAAACATATTTTACTTATTTTTGTTTCTTTCTCTTATACTGTTTATTACCAATACACTATTTCAAATACATGTAATTCAACTTGGTATTAGGATGAACTTACAAATAATTAAACACAAGAAATAAATATCAGAACATGACTGGTTTATAGCATTCTGATATGTGGCCTGATCTACGTTTGCAAGACTCTCAAAATAAAATTAAATAATTCCCCTCATCAGTGATTTAACAGCAATGTGCTAGTTTTACTGTTTTGTCAGAGTAGTTTTTGTTTTCAAAGAGCAAATGATTATTGCCTCATTCAGGCGTATCACAGACGATACTACTCACCTGCTTATTTGTTTCATCGAAGAATACATTTGTTAGCTGACTGACAGGCTCAAAACGGATTGGATGTTTTGATAATTGAACATAATGGACCCCTGCACTTTTTGAGTCCGCTTCTGCCATTATTTTCTTTTGATACTCTCCTCTATATGGAGATCAGATTGTGGACAATTCACGCCTCCGAAGAGGCAGGCTCGTACAGGAGGAAACGGCAGGACAGGTCAGAAGATAGCGGAAACGGCATCACAGGTCACGAGCAACACTGAAAAATAAAACGGCAACACAGGCCAGTTCCTAATACATAGCGCAGCGAGTTCAGGTGTCTGAAGAATGTCATTTAACAAGTTTCCACAAGGAATAAAGATCGTGCTGTAATAATAATAATAATAATAATAATAATAATAAGGATGATGATGATGATGATGACGATGAGATATTGCAGACAATTTTTAGAGCACTTTTTCCCCCACCTTTTACAGGGGCGGATCCAGAGATATTTTCTGACAGTCTTTCAAATTATCTTTGTTGATCCATCCTCCATTTTTGACCGTCTTCCAACAGAAAATATTAGATGCCCGACAGTATAAACTTGAAAATCTGACCGTATTCCGGAAGACCCAGAAGACGGCCTAAATCCGCCCCTGTTTTATATTGAAAAAGAATATAATATATTAGTATGATGTACAATAAACTGACACTCAAAATTTGTGGACTTGATGTTTCAGATTTTGCAAACAATTTTACCCTTTTTTCATCCACAAATACCTAATTAAAAAGAAAACAGCAGCCAAAACGGGTCTCTACGTCAATACCCTCTTGTTATAAGATTTTTTAAAAAAATAATCACGAGTACAAGTAAACTGTAGAACTGTATCACCATTGACAGTGTTGAATGTTATTGTTTGATCTTTTCTTTTAAATGTTACTGTATATATATCTTATAAAACACAGCTTTTATTATGAAACAACAAAGTAAAGAAATGTGCTTACTTGAATGAGACAGGAGACGTATATAATAGGAATCATCCAGGCTAGGCCTAAAATCTAGCAGTTTGGTGGAGAGTGGGATCCAGAATAATTGCACATTAATAAGTGCGGTGCAGAAATGAATAAAAGCTGACACTATTTGTCCAAGGATGTTTTTATGGTTGTTTTTATCTTAATTTCCATGAAGTACAGTTCAGTTTTGAAATTTGAAACTTTTTTCAAGTTTGTGAGTGCACGTACATAAAGTACCAGTATGTTCCTAAACTCTTTAGATGTTGAATGTGATATGGCTGGTAGTCAAATAACTCAAAACTCAATATCCTTTCTTTAAAAATGTTATTTTTAATAACAATAAAAATATATACAGACTGACACAAAATACAAATGCATTCAAACAGCAGATAAACAGATTGCCTTTAATATGTATATATAAAATGTTTTATGCCGATCTATAACTTGTAAATTAAGTTACTTAGAAAAAATTGAACATTATCTGCACAAAAAAAGTTCATTTGAAAAAAAAAAACTATTTGTTCACACTTTCAGATATCAATATTGAACACTGACATAAATTAATTACCCGGTTATGCTAACCTAACAACCCTTGGAGGTACAATGTATGACATACTTTATTGTATCCCTAAAGCATAAGGCAAATATAACACTCATTTTGAAAGACAATGCTCAATGACTAGATCTTACAGGAAAGCAGTGCTACAATTTCAATAGAACTTTGGAGCGTTTTCATTATAATGAAAATGAATACACTGAGTAGTGTCTCAGACAACTCATCTATTTTATCTGCATCCTTTTCACTGTTTAACCCTTTTAGGGTTATCTCATTTAGTATTAAATGTACATAGACATTCACATCCTCTTAACTGAAAGAGAAAAGTACTCATTGTGCATACTTTTATCAGTTATACAGTTTAAATTTAAAAATAAAAGTAAAAATGTTTGCTATAAAATCTTACAGTTACTTCAAAATATTTTGGCAAAAATTATAAAAGTTGTAGCAATGTTCATTATCTAGAGGTCTTAACAGGTAAAAATTCAGCCTTAAATTGCACCCTTATTTATTTGTGCTGAATGAGAACAAGAATTAGAAAAAAAAAGCTTCACAGTTAAACTGATACATACATGCTACCATGTATTAAAATGACATTGAAAGTAACTATTGGATGTCCAATAGAATGTACCAATTACTAAAATAGTAGCACACCATAAATTAACTTGAAATTGCACTGAACAATGCATATATTCAAACACTTTTACATATAAGTTAATTCTCTCATTAACAAACAGTGATGGTTTTTGATTTAGAACTATGATTGGTCCCTTAATGCACTACATGGATAAAATTTGTACACAAAGTTAAGCATATATGGCACAAATGCAGTGGAAGATATTTGATCTTTTTTTTTTACAAAATGTACACAAAAATTATAAATAATAAATAAATTTTATAAATATTCCCTATGTTTCAGCAGCCATTAAAAAGGGTGCTGCTGAAACGAGTCTCAATATTGCTAGATCTGAGTCTCCACTGGTTCATATGTGTCATCTTCTAAACGTGGGTCTTTAGAATCTTTCACTTCATCCTGAATGAATATATTTTTACTGTCTATTCTCTCTGGTGGGGTTGGAGGGGGCGTCTCACAACCTTCACAATCACAGTCACTGTCTTTTGCTTTCATTAATGCTGCTGCTTCTTGAGAGGCTAAGTTTTCCTTTGGCTTTGGAGGAACTGGGGGAGCCAACATAGACAGGCGTTCCTAAAACAGAAAATAATTATGAGAATTCAACTTAGAACAAATTTCCTGACCAACAGAATTTTCTATCATCTTTTAATACCAAAGGATGTACAAAAGATAGAGACTGTTACATATAGTTCTAATCTTGTACAGATGCCCACACTAATACCAGATCCAGACTATGTGAGCCAGCTAGCTGTACAAGATGGACTCAAAAATAGTGAGAATTCAGCTTGGAATAAACTAGAAAAAAAAAAAAGATTATCAGCTGAATGTATCAGGTAAAGAGCAAGGCAAACTTACCTCAGCAGTGTCATATCTAAAGAGACGCCAAGGTTTTGTTCTTCTTTCTATATTTATTCTTTCATCACTAGTTTTATGGTATGTGGGGTTAGAAAAGGTAAGCCTTGCCTCAGATGATATGGAGTCTTCTTCTCTTCTCCTTTTCCTATCAGGAAGTGGTAAAAGGGGAAAATATTAATATCAAATAACAGTGCAGACCATTTTCCATTAATGATTATTTGTTTGGTTAATACCATGTAAAATACTATGGATGACTAGATGAACAAAAGGCCTAGACATGCTGTAACTAGCATTGTGCCTTTGACCCCAAGCTGGCCATCATTTGTCCAATCTAATACAACACTTGTTACAGAGTATGTAAGTTCCACTTGTGTAAGCCACGCATGTATTTCACATATTATATCTTAACTCGATCCTGTTGAATGTGTAATAAAAAGATCAAGTTTGAAAAAATTTGAAGTGTAAATATTACAAATGTTAATGGCTTCTCATCTTTTGATGTAATGTGAGTAAAGAAAGAATATTTCAAATATTATTATGCTAAATAGGATAAGAAGTGATAATAATGCTGTACTCTACCTCCTCCAGATCAGTAGAAATATCACAGCTCCTCCAAGAATGAGTAAAATAACAACTGCTAATGAAATATATGCAGCATGGACTCCACTGTCTGGAAAATACAAACAGCACATTGAAATCTAAATCAAATTCAATGAATTTCACCAAACATACTTATCCAAAAGGCAACAACAACACAAAAACAAAGAGATGAAAGATACGAAAGAGACATTCAAAAACATTCTATTTCCTTCCTTTTAAAACACATACACATATCTATGAGTTTACTATTAGTTTAAGTAATTAATACTTTAATGCCTTATTAAAAGCAATTTTACAAAAAGGCATTATAAAAATAACAAGGAATAAGCATATATACTTACTGTCTGCACTACATAGCCCATGCCGCCAGTCTTCTTCAGAGCACCTAATGCACAAGAAATAATAAATGTAAATTATTGTGTAAAACTAGAAATAAACAAAAATCGTGGAAGCAACTACCACTTTACTTGAATCCAGTTTAAAAAGTTCAAATCCAGCATCAAATTTAAATGGCCTTTTTAGTTGGAAAATAATCCATATTATTTCACCAACTATAAACTAACCTGATCCAACATCAAACAGTCAAAAAAGAAATTGGTTATGTTTTTTGATAAGAGTGTGTTTTCTTACCCATCTGCATGTTGCCCTGTATCTGGTAGAGTATCTGGTATAGCAGGAGGAACATTCCACTCCTTGCCATAGTCAAACTTTTTATTCTTTGTAGGATCTACTATATATATCCCTGGCACTGAAAATTACATGGGGAAATTATTCATTATATTTCACATTTTCTATTAGGAAAATCAATTGGGTTTAAAAATTAAAGAATGGAAAGGGGCAATCTCTTGAACATATCTTTGGTAGACTGGATTTCAGTTTTAAATTATTCTAATCATTCTTAGAATTTATTGCCTCATACAATAAAACCCATAAATATAATATGACTATTAAATAGCCACACTCAACCAAACAGTGACTGAAATAATTCAGTGCACATTACCTGTAGAGCAAGGCCTGTCATCTGGTTCCGTGGGACAAGCACACACAAAGCCCACATCTGGTCTAGCCAGGCAAAGGTGTGAGCAACCTCCATTATTCATGTGACAGGCATTAGTACCTGGAGCAAGATCAACACATCACATACAGAATTTATGAATTTTAGTCAATTTATCAATCAGAACATTTGAAATCAGTTAAAAAAAGATATGCTCTACTTTGACACAAATCTTTAAATTCAAAGGATTGTTTTAAAAATTTATTCTCTTTATTTATTCATTCACACTCTACAGTTTTAGATTACACCCCCATTGAATGTATTAGCTATACACGGTATGTTTAAAAACATGCAACTCACCACTCTGTTTTAATGGAGAAACAATCAGCACATCCATCAGACCTTCCAAGTTGTCTTTGATGACAGTTCGATTCTTCCCAGTTCTCTTGTTGGCTCTGTCTATAGATTGTGTCTGCCAGTCTGTCCAGTATACGTGCTCTCCAAACTAAAACCAAGTATGATAAGACCCAATGTATAATTGATGGCCCATTTATTTACTTATTTGTTTTTTTTTTTTACTGATGTTATAGAATTTTCTCATTAAGACATAAAAAATTTGTTGTATTCTTTTTTTGGTGCATATGAACATAATACACTATTATCAGAATTTTGAAAAGATCTATTTTTTTAGGTAGTTATCTTGAGGGTTCACCCAACCATTGAAATGCCAGCTTTATCAAATATTTTATCCAATATGAAAAGGATGCAATCAGACTTACCACAGTGATGCCAAATGGATGGTCAAGCACCCCTTGCGTTCCACTTATCAGAAGCACTCTGTTTTCACCATTTAAGTCAGAAGTTTCAATCTTGTCCAGTTTTGCATCTAGCCAAAATATCCTCTCCATTTCATAATCAAGTGCCAGTCCATTAGGCCAGCCTAGCTCTGTGTTGACGAGAACCCTGCGATTAGTGCCATCCATAAAGGCACGCTCTATCTTTGGAGTGTTGCCCCAGTCTGTCCAAAACATGTACCTGGAAGATGAAGAAATGTATATAATTTCCACTGTAATACAGAAAAGGTGGGATACCTATTTCAAACCCAGGTTTAATTGCTTTNAAAAAAATAATAAATTCAATAAATTATCATTGATCTATAATACAAACTTAACTGAAAAACAAATCTTTTAATTACAATTTATATCCCTTTGCCAATACCCACCTTATGACATCAAGATGTACATCAGTGTAGTAGAGTTTCTGGTCAGCATAGTCCACATCTAGAGCTATGACATTGCTGAGGTCTGGTAGAGGGAGGAAGACCTCTGTGCTATCTGGTGTGTCCATGGAGATACGCTGGATACTGTCACGGCTAGCAAACAGCATGTAGGTGGTAGGAACTGCCAAGAAATAAGTTTAATCATTTATATTGCCAATACATTTTTACCTACAAGGGACATATGTTTAAAAGAATTGTACATATATATATTTTAATGTCGCCAAATGACTTACACCTTAAGGAAAAAGTTTTTGATATGTCAGTTCACATCATCAACAAAGCAATCTTAAAACTTGGTATTTATTTTATTTTTCTGGGTAATCTTGTATCAAAATGCATGTATATCTGACAAGCAATCTTTATTTTGTTTTGTACCAAATGGAGAGCAATACATACCATTGTAGCATGTCTTTCCATCAGGCTTCAGTAGTATTCCAGTGGGACAGGCACAGCTGAAACCTCCAGGATTAGGTAAACAAAGATGGCTGCAACCTCCATTGTAAGAACCACATCTGCTGGTACCTATATGTTATTGACGAAATCAACTCTCAGTGTGGCTCCTTGCAATGGTAGATCAACTAGGTTTTTTATATTTCAGGGTTATGAATCTATTGTCAAATAAATGGGCAAAAACTGTCACCAAGCATAAAACTGTCATCATGTACTTGTCATGTACTTGCAGATTATATCAACTTTTTTATAAGACATATACCAAAGGGCAGATTTCAAATGGGAACTTAACTCAAAAGTTTGTCTTCACTTAAGGAATATTACTCCACTTTAGCCTAAGATAAAGCAGTAGTAATGCATGTCGATGAAAATAGCAGTAAGAACATTGTAACACCTTAGAATGATAGTCATGTTATTTTAGTGGCTTTTATTTAGCACAGATTTAACCCTATGCCACCTACCCTTTTGCTCCGTTTTCTGTACTCCATGCAAGTCCATTAGTCCGGGCATGTTTTCACGAATAACCGTTACATCCACCCCAGTTAATTTGTTTGCTCTCTTGATGGCCTTGGCTTGCCAGTCTGTCCAATATACATGGTCATTCAAAATGGTCAAGCCATAAGGATGGGGTAAGCCTGACACAACTATTTTGCGGTTACTGCCATCAAGGTTTGAACACTCCAGCATCTACAAGAAGGGACAATAGCATTCAACACACGTATCTAAGTTCCTCTTCACATTCACTGCAATAAAATAATAATAATAACTGCATAAATTGTATCTAAAAGAAATAACTTACTTCAGTTTTGGCATCTGCCCAGTAGATCTTGGCATTCTCTGTGTCCAGTGCCAGTCCATTTGGCCACCCCAAGTTGTCAGTGACCAGTACTTGTCTGTTCTCACCATCCATGTCAGCCCTCTCTATGACTGGGTCACTACCCCAGTCTGCCCAGAACATGTATCTGCAGAAAAAATGTTTTAATGTGCTTAATTTGAATGGACTTACATAAGACTTGTTTATTATTGACTTCTTCTCATAGGCAAAATCTATGTATAACCAAAATTGTCACATTGTCCAGGAAATAGAAATATTCAACTGAAAATGAGCACTTAAAAATGGCCAATGTATAAGCTTTCTTTGATAACAAAATACTTAGATTAGAAAAAAGAAGGGCATATTCTAGTCACTTACCCAGTGTTATGGTCTACCACTATAGCTCTAGGATTGTCTATGTTCTGCCAGAAGAGGACTTTCCTCATGCTGCCGTCCAGATTGGCCACCTCAATTCTGTTACGTCCAGTATCTGTCCAGTATATCTTACGACCCACAGTGTCCAGTGAAATGCCGTCCATGGTCTTCAGGCCCTGAGTTAGGACATCTTCTACATCAGAACCATCCAAGTTACTGCGCTGGATTTTGTCAAGGCCAATGTCAGCCCAGTATACTTTGCCTGAAAAAGAGAAACTCTCATGAAAAATTTCTCTTCAATCAAAATTTTATTAAGATGACCTTTACAAAGATCAAAATTCAAATAACATCATTCTATTTGGAGAGGAACCAGTACTAAAATATACAATGACTAAAATTAGACACAAAGTTCAAATAAAATTACAAATACACAGGAAAACAACTCATCAGACTTTTTCACTAAAAGTTTCAAAATAAACGAAAAATATTCCCATGAAATAATCACATCCATTGATTACAATTGGTTATGTATGACAAATCTCTGTACATCACACTTACCTTCCTGTGTATCCACATCCAATGCAATAGTATTCTTCAGCCCCTCTATAGGCAGTACCACATCAGCGTAGTAGGGCACATCCAGGGAGATCAGCCTGATATCTGTTTTACGAGCAAATATGATGTACTGGTTCAGTTCTGGCTGACATGTCTTGCCATCTGGTAGCAGGTGGATTCCAGTGGGACACATACAGGTGTGAGTACTGGGAGGTGGGGCAAGAAGACATAGGTGACTGCAACCTCCATTGTTTACCATGCAGGCATTTGGGACTAAAATATCAGAGGAAAAAATTTAATTGTTATGTGGATTCAGATTACTTTTGTGTTTTTTTTTTTTTTTTTAATTTTCAGGAACAAAATTTACCATGAATAACAAAAAAGTATGAAGTAAATAAATTTAAAATCCTGCTCCTGTTCAATATTATATTTCTCCTCGCAGACTCTTATCCAAATTTTATTTTTTATCCAACAAATTAAACTCCACCAGAAGAAACCTTACTCATAGTCCTGCCCTTGTGATACACATGGATATCCATGAGATTGTCCAGGCCCTGAACCAGCACACTCCTGTTTCCTCCAGTGAGTTTGTTAGCAACATGAATACTCTTTGTCTGCCAGTCAGTCCAATAAATATTGTCTTCAAACACTGTCAGGCCAAATGGATGTGGTACTTCACTAGCCAATAAGATCTGAAATGTAGAAAATAGAGATGTATAAGATAAGTATAAGATAGAGTATTTTAATAAGATACAGTTAAGTTTGTCAACAAAATATCAATGTCAACAAAAATCTTCACCAATGAAAGTATGAAATATATCTTTATGTATTTTTATATTAATCTCTAATCTCAAAAAACCAAGAAGGGTTTCCTGCTGCAATACTGTTTGTTTGCAATCTTGGTAGGGAACTTTGCTATGCATCCCTACCTGTACTACCAGGCTTACCTTTCTATTAGAGCCATCCAGATCAGCATGCTCAATGACATGGTGACCAGCGTCCACCCAATACAACCTCCTGCTCTGGACATCAATGGCCAGCCCATTGGGCCAGGTCAAGTTCTGAGAGACCAGTATGGACCTGTTCTGGCCGTCCATTCCTGCACGCTCTATCTTAGGAAGCCTGCCCCAATCTGTCCAATACATGTACCTTATAAGAAATGTACAGAATAAGTTTACAAAATTAACAAAAATTATCTATTTTAACCGTAAGGCAAATGGCACAAATGGCCACATCCTCCCAGACTGACCCTTAGTTACACACACCACAGTGATACCCCTTGGTATAGCACACCTCTATGTTCCCTCTTATAAAAGATCTACAATGGTAACTCATGGCATATTATCTCTCCAGACTCACCCTGACGCCGGATCCACAATGATGTCCCTAGGCTTGTCCAGGTCCTCCCAGACCAGTACTGTTCTCATAGTACCATCTAGGTTAGAGACTTCTATCATATCTGTGCCTGCATCTGTCCAGTAGAGTTTCCTAGTCACCCAGTCCAAGGCCAGGCCTGCTGGGCTCTCCAGGCTGCTGCCAACTATTATCTGAGTGAAAACAAGTTGGGTGAGATGGTATGAAGTAATCCCTCTCTAACATTTTTTTTTCAAAATTGTTTTTGATCTGCCACAAGCCAGATTTTTTAATTAAACTGCTAGGTCCTAGTTTGAAGGGAAATTTATCCTTCATTTATGATTTTCAAGTATTTTGGCTACAGAAATATCAAGTCAGATTCTTAAAACACTCATTTTGATAGTAGAGAAAAAAATTGAATTAAATTTACAAAAGTTGGAAAAGAGTAAGTGAAAATTGACATTATTCAATTCTTTTGGCACACCCTTTAAGCATTTTCTTTATCATGGATCTCTCTCTCTCTATATATATATATACCATTAATTTCTACCTCATCATATGATCCATCCCACAATGCCCTATTGATAGTTTCCATTTTAACATCAGTCCAGTAGATGTATTTGTCCTGACTGTCCCAATCCAATGCTAATGCACCCTGCACATTGCTGAGAGGTACAACTATGTCAGTCTTGTCTTCTGTGTCAAATGAAATACGACGGATGTCTGATTGGTGAGAGAACAGGAGGAATTTCTCAATTTCTGAAAACAAAGATATAATATACTATAAAATGATTCAAATTTTGGACATCAAAAAAGTAAGCAAGAATTTAAAATCCTTTAAGGTAAATTTAAGTAACCATTAAAATTCTTTAAGGTGAATTTATATTAAATAATAAAAAAATCAACTGAAAATTTTCACTAAAGTTTTTTTCTTGACAAAATTAGTTGCTGAGTCCCCTCACCTTGTGCACATGACCTGTTATCAGGCAACAGTCTGTAGCCAGTGAGACATCCACAGGAATAGGTGTCCAAGTTTGGAAGACATAGGTGACTGCAGCCACCATTGTTCATGCCACACCTGTTCACAGCTGTGCAAATAGTTATAAAAAGATTATATTAAAATATATTCCACAACTGTCAGAATAAAAACAGTCATTGTAGAGTTTTTAATACAAAATTTCTTAAGAAACATTTGTGAATCAAAACTTCTAGCTGACCTGCATGCCAATAAAATTTTGTAAATGTCTCTAGACTGAAAAAATTCTGATAATAATCATATGTTTAATTTCTTCAAGGCATTAAAGAGTCACCATGAAAGAAATACTTTATCTACAAATGTGTTAATTCACACAAAATGATCTCACCAGTAGGCTGCCTCAGAGGGTGGAAAGTGTGAATGTCCATAGGGAAGTGCAGCCTGTTCCTCACTGTGACCACAGAGTTCCCATTAAATTTGTTTGCCTTCTTGATGCTCTTGGTATGCCAGTCTGTCCAATACAGCTCATCCTCAAACAATGTCACAGCAAATGGATGTGGAAGACCTGGAACAGAGTGATATCTGCAAATTATGACAAATACCAACAAAATAAGGTCTTCGTTTCATTATTATTATAGTTATTGCATAGCAATAGTAGATCTTTATTTTTAAATTTCATTTAATGAACAGATTTGTACTTCAGTTAAACCCAAGTACAAATGAAACACTGTATAATAATTCTATTTACCCTGATCCAATACTATCCTCCTATTTGCTCCATCCAGGTCAGCACACTCGATCACATGATGCTTGGCGTCTGCCCAGTAAATTCTGTCCGCAGCATAGTCTATGGCCAGACCATTGGGCCAGAACAGGTTCTCCTCTGCCAGAATGTCTCTTGATGAGCCATCCATGGTGGACCTTTCAATCTTGGGCCTCTGACCCCAGTCTGTCCAAAATATAGTCCTAAAATTAAAAAAAGAAGGGAGTAGTCAGTAAAAAAAAAATCATTCTGGCTCTACCTGTGAATTGTTTTGCTTTAGTAAGAAAAATAATTCCAAACAATATCTTGGTTTCATTTATAAATGTGTTTTAAAAACTATCTACAGGATATTTTTTAAATTTAATTTTCTCTGTGCACATCTTACCCTTGGCCTGGGTGTGCAGCAATAGCCCGTGGTTTCTCCAGATTCTCCCACAGCAACACTTTACGCTGACTACCATCCAGATTAGCCACTTCCACCCTGGACGTCCCCGAATCTGTCCAAAACAATTTATTATGTATCCAGTCCACTGCAACACCCCCTGGACTCTCCAGACCAGTGTCCACTATATCCTGGACATCCGTCCCATTGATGTAAGCTCTCTTGATTTTGTCCAGAGTGACATCAGACCAGAACACCATGCCCAGATCATGGTGGAAGTCAAGAGCAATGGCATTCTCCAGACCTGCCAGGATTGAGGTGTATTCTGATTTGTCGGGGAGAACTTTGCGGATGTCAACACGGTTGGCAAAGATGAGGTAAGCCTCTCCACCTAGAAACAAAATTTACATTAAGCTCTGTGATATCCTGCCATTTTTAAGTGACATTTTTATATTGCTCCACAGTCTCACTAAAATGAGAAAATGAGATACTAGTCACTGCAAATTCTATTAATGGGATACAATATACTGCACACCTTTGATTCTACATATCGTGGCAGTTCTAGGTGGATATTTAACTAGCCGAATAAAAATAGCCAATCTGCAAACTGTTGGTCTGATAATTATCAAAACAACTAATTATAAAAAAAAACAGCATATCCTACACATGTATGTATTTCAACTCACCTAGTGCCTTGCATCCTTTGCCATCTGGTTTGAGTTCATAACCTCTGGTACATGAACAGCGAAATGAACCCATGGTATTGTGACATAACTGACTGCAACTGCCCTCAATCTCACACTCATTTACATCTAAAATGAAAACACTTCATGTTATCTCACCTAACTTCATATATTGAGCAAGAATAGTTGTTATGTACAAAACTGTGCAATTTTTTATTCTTATTATGTTTGAAAATTATTACTGAAATTGAACTGAAAGTAATTATTGGTTGAAACCATCAAACCATGTCCAGCTTAAACTATTACAGCAAAATAAGGGGCCAAAACATTCCATACACCAAATTATAACTGCCCTTATACTAAGATAAAAAATTCATTTAACCTAGTGCTGGACTAACCTATGCAGGACTTCTTGTCCATCATGAGGTCATAGCCTACATTACATGTACACCTGGCCCCCATCCTGGTATTAGTGCACTTCTGAGTGCATCCACCATTGTCTGCAGAACAACTGGCTGGAGAGACTGGAATAGAAAAAAAAGATTCACCTGAATTTCTTCAGAATCAAAGTTAAAAGTAAATATTCTGCACTTTACCATGTCTCAGTTTATAATAGCTCACAATATTCCTGGCATATTTTTTTGCCCTGATTCAGACTTGCTGCAGACATTTTCATCTCCCTGTGGAGCACAGATTTATGAGAGAAATTGCACAAACTTACTGCACTTCTTTTCGTCTGACCCATCCCCACACTGGTCTTCTCCATCACACACCTTGCTGCTCCCTATACACTGACCATTGTCACACCGGAACTGACCCTTGCCACAGTGAGTGTTGTTATAGACTGGAGGTAAAAATGGATAGAATGATACCAAGATTACGTCTATGATCATTACCATTTGCATTATTACTAACATTATTACTAAAATCATGATGACAACCATTCACTGTTTTTATTATCATTATCCTAATTAATCACGAGAACAGCTTGCACTTGATGTTCAATTATATCTATATCCATGAAATCATACAAATGGCTCAGTTAATAAGTAGCTTTTTTGGTTCATTTACTGATAACGGAACACTATAAAAGTAGTTCAAATAATTTCATCAAAAGCATCACAACAAAAGAGACATGCAAAATGCTTATCAATTGCACCAGGGAAGAGATTTCCAAATCCCAGTGCCTGAGCCACAGGCATGGTAATTTCACTGACAGGCACTTAAAAATTGACTTAATAGCCCTATGGTCATCTTTATACTCTGGGAAAGCTAAATGTCAGGTGAAGGGTGCCTACTTCACAAATAAAATAGTAAAAAACAGTGTTTTCAAACTTGATATGCCTGTGCTTATTAGAGCATGTAGATTTTTTTTACAATAACATGTACTTAACATGTACATGCCCCCCCCCCCCCCCAAAAAAAAGAAACTCCTGCAAGTAGAAAAAGATAAAACCTACCACACCCAACTTCATCAGAGTTATCACTACAGTCTTTCTCCCCATCACAGCGCCATATGTCCCTTATACAGAGTCCAGATACACATTGGAACTGACCAAGTCCACAGCTTGGGCTAGCTGAAATCAACATAATATGTCTTGAAAACTTTTCAAAGAATAAAATATTTTCATCTTGTTATGATGATTCATGAGCCAAAGTTTCATAAAATTACGCAAACTACTATCTTTGTTAATTTGTTTGCAATAATCTTACAAAAAGAGGAACATGTAGGAAAGACAATTCATTTACTGCATGTATACAAGAAACTACACAGCAAGGTTGGCAAACAGACCATCATTATAGGATGAAATTCAAAGAAAATATCATCTAGGCAAGATGGATGATTACAGACTTGAAAACATTTGAATAAGAACTTCAGTTACTTTTCACCTTGATGGTCTTGCTAAAAAGGTAAATGTGTTAGTATTTAGATGGAACTTACGACAATGCAACTCATCAGAGTTATCAGGACAGTCATATTCTCCATCACACTCCCAGGCTCCATTGATACACATCCCACTAGAACACTGGAACTCTCCATCACCACAAGATGGCCGGCTATCTACAACAGAGTATTGAATCTTTATTTCTCTCAGTTCACATATGCAGTCTCAGGCCCAAGGCCAGTCTGTTTCAGACATAAAAGGAAATGGTGTGAACTGCTACAGAAGTCTTCACAATAAATAAATGCAAGACTGTTTTAATGAAATGCCAACAATGAACAAAAATTTGCTGGTTGAAATAACAAGTTAGTTGTATGAGTGTGTTGGGTGTTCTGTTAATAAACTTTGTGAGCACACCTACCACATTTTTCATCGCTCCAGTCCCCACAGTCATTCTCTCCATCACAGCGGTAGGAGTGCAAGATGCAACGCCCTGTTTCTGGACACAGGAACTCGTCCTTTGTACAATTGTGTGGTGAAACAGCTGTAAGAGGAGAAATGGATTCCTTATTTAATCTGTCTAGTGTAATGTGTATGTACAAACAAGTTTTGCCATTTTTAGAAGTTGACCAAAAATAAAACTTGCACATGTGCACCCACACAATCACAATTATAACTGTAATAATAATAACAATTTTTAGTAAAACAGAGTACACATACTATACAATGCCAATTTGTCTCAAGAATGTCTTCTAGATTCAAGTCATCTAATCTAAAACACTCACTGCAATCATGTTCATCTTCTCCCCCCTTACAGTCCTCATCAAAATCACAGCGCCATGTTGATGAGATACAAGTACCATCTGAGCAGCGGAACTCATTTGGATGACATGTTTGGTGTTCAGCTGAAAGAGAGAGAGAAAAAAGTATAAATAACAAGGTTAACCTTTCATTATCTAACTTTGCTATTTAGAAATCTACCTTGATTGATGAACTTATACCAGAAAAAGTCTGAATGTTTTTTAAGCAACAACAATGAAAAAAAAACAGGATTTCTCAACAGGAAGTCCAATGATACCTTCATCAAACTGATTTTTATGTAACTTATACTCTGTATTTTAATAATAAATGTGATGGAGTTGGTAGTCAGATACCAATTTAATGCAGTATGGGTTTTAGAAATGAGGAGATGATGAGGTGTAACATCACCCTTTTACATGGTCTTTACTTTAAGAAAAAACTGAAGAAGTTCAAGTACAAAAACCGTGGCACACCTTTTCACAAATTTGACAGGTGAGGTAAACGTAAAATATGTGCTTCCCATCCATTATAATGACAGCCCTATCAAAAAAATGAGATATGAAAGGAAATGTAAATAGAAGTATGATTTCCTGTATTTACACCTGAGTGAAACACTTAATATCTTTTGTTGTGATTTTTTTTCTGAAATTATAGATACTATCTATGTGCACATTTACTATATGCAGGTTATACAAATATGAAAAATGTTTGGTTTTGAAAAAAATGATGTGACAGATTGCTGAATGCTCTGCCCTCAATTCAACTCGTCAAGTCATGCAATTCAGGACTTAACAAGAACAACAAAAGCTGTTTTAAGCAATTAACCATAACAAGGCAGCAAAGCTGTCAAACGTACAGACAAAAAGCAGGAAATAACTATGCACAAAATAGGCTACTGTCAATTCTGATGCAAAAGTACATTATGTTAAACTGCAAATTCAACATCAAATTTTAATTAAGCTCAACAGGTAATACCAATGTAAGTAAAATGTGTAACAAGCATAAGGCTTCAGGCCCATGGCAGTTCAAGTTCACACTTTGAAAATGTATAACTTCCAGAAAAAGAAGCCAATTAGACTGCTTTTCCAACTCAGGCTGCATTTTAGTCCTGTATTTCTTTTTTGAACGTTTGGCAATCATCAGTAACATGGTTTTCCCATAATGGTCATCATGGCAGCAGCACCCAAAATTGTGTGTTCTTCTATTCTGATGCAATATTACATAATGGTTAACAGCATAATGACCGTCAATTTTTAATAATAAAATATACGTATCATGGATTTTCAGAAAATGTGACTAGCATGGGTCTTCAAGCCCATGGAACTTCAAAGTCACACCTTGAAAATGCCAATATGTGAAAAATTAAATTTTCACAAAAAAAA